AATTTCATTAATTTTCGTGATAAAACGAGTTATTCCGAGTTATTCCGGATTTTAAGAATTGTGGTAGATAGCAGGACTATTCAGGTTGTCTATAAAAAAAATATTAAAAAATTGTGATCATGGTAGTGAAAAATATCATAAACGGTCTCAATTTCTGAAGAATTTTTTTTATATAACTTAAAATATAATTGGGGTATATATTTTTTCTTTTTTTCCCCGATTAGTCCGGGGCAGGTCTATCCTCCGGTGTTGGCTTATCGTTGAATTTTGGGACACGTTATACCTATATTTTAATATACTTGTACTTAAAAAGTTACCTTTATTTACCTAAATAATTGTACAAATTCTTAGTGTTACATACTAACATTAATCAATTTCGTATATTATTACTTTCGATTATTTTATGAATTCTACTTTATTATGTTCAATTAGCAGTAAGATAATGTGTAATAATTTATATAAATGTAGATATTATATGTCATAGCAGTTAGTGGTCAATGTTGTCTTGCAGAAAGTCATTAATATTGTAGTAGGCTTTATTTGCAAGGAAATTATTTAATTTATTTTTGCGTATGTTATTATTATGTTCTTTCCAGCGTTTAGGAATTTTATTATATATTTTGGGCCCATGCAAAATATGCTGTTATTAATAAAGTAGTTTTTGATTTATGTAGACGAAGTTTACTGTTATCACGTCTATTACGACCGACCGCATCAGACACGCGCGGGAATAGGTTAGGATTGCTCTTATCGAAAATTGCGCTTTCCAAAATATAAAGTGAGGGTAATGTCAATAATTTATATTGTATGAAAAATGGTTTACAGCTCTCCGTGACCTTTAGTTTGAAAATGGTCCTTATGCATTGCTTCTGGGCTTTAAATACTAATTCTTTATTCGTAGAGTTAACCCAAAAGATAATACCCCAATAAAAAACTTCGCATTATTTACCTCATTCATCATATTATTATTGTAGTGTGTTTGTAGATTTGACGTAGTAGATCCTCTTTATGTGAAGTGCATAATATTAGTTATTTCCAAATTGATTTTTAAATTATTATTTTCCAGCCATTTTATCATTGATATTAGGGAATTATTAATGTCATTATTATAGGTATCATTATTTTATAAGGTATAGTTATGGTACTGTCATCGGCAAATAGTGTCACGTATTGGTTAATGTTTTTTGGTAAGTCATTGATATATATAATAAACAATAGAGGTCCCAAGATACTGATATACAGATATACAGATATCGATACACCTAATACAAAAAGAGAAGGAAAACCAGTGTATAAAAATGTATTTGCTGTCGATAAAATTCATCCGCGGCTTGTCTTTTCAAATGACCTCATGGAAACCGATTCAGAAAACGAATGAATGTTTCTTTTATAAATCTTTATAGTATTTCACACATTTTTTTCTGTTCTGATTAAAGTAAGTAGTCAAGAAATAATGAAATATCAGTTTATATTGATTGTTTTATAACAAAAAAATAATAATGAATGATAAATATAATTTAAAAATTAATAATGGTCATTTAATAATGAATAGGTGGGACGCCCTGTGTGGCCGAGGCTTGTCCCTGGAGTCCTGTGAGTCTGATTTTTTTTTGTTTGTTTAATTGTTTGTATTGGTTACTACAAAGGGTCGCCCTGCGTGGCCGTGGTCTGTCCCTGGAGCCCTGTGAGACTAATTTGAAGTATTGGTTACCAAAAAGGGTCGCCCTGTGTGGCCGTGGTCTGTCCCTGGAGTCCTATGAGACTAATTTGAAGTATTGATTACCAAAAAGGGTCGCCCTGCGTCGCCGTGGTCTGACCCTGGAGTCCTGTGAGACTAATTTGAAGTATTGATTACCAAAAAGGGTCGCCCTGTGTGGCCGTTGTCTGTCCCTGGAGTCCCTGGAGTCCTGTAAGACTGATATGAAGTACTGGCTACTAGAACGAGTTGCCCTGCGTGGCTATGGTCTGTCTCTGAAGTTCTGGGAGATTAGTTATTGGTTTTATGTAATTTATTAAGAAGATAATTTCTATACGGCCACAGAAAGTTAAAAAAAATGATGGTGTGATGTGTGTGTGGTGTAAAAAAAATATGATATTGTGACGATAATACTTTAGATAATTATTAAATTTAGTTAGATTAGATTAGATTTTAGTTAGATAGTTATTAAGTGCAGTTTATTGTTCTTACTTCATTACTAGTTTTGCGAGGTCGCGGTAACCGTCAGGAAAGGCCGAATGTAATCTAACGAAATAATATTTAATTATTATTAACCTGGCAACACAAGGCCTTGCATTATGTTTTTGGCTTGGGTGACGCGTTGTCTACGGCGACGCTCTCTCGAAATGGCGACTGCGCAGGAATCGGATTCTTGGCCCGACATCTTATAAAATCTTAACATATTATATTTTTAAAACTACTCAATTGTCCGTTAGTGTGAAACAAGCAACCATAATTATAAATGAGTGTAATTGTAACGTTAAAACGTTTGATTAGAATTAAGGTGATTCAATAAAGTAGCAACGTAAAAGTGTACAACGTTTTATTTAGCAATCGATAGCGATAGCACATTAATTAACGACTGTGAGCTGAAATGTCCTCTGAACGAAAAAGCTGTTTTTAAATATACGCGAGTGAAAGTTAAAAGTGAAGTCATAATCCAAAATTTAAATTATTTTGTTTGATTTATGTTAAAACCTACCCTCTAGTTTCATAATTTTTTAACGTACCTAAATATGTTAACAAATAAATAATACAAAAAATATGTTAAAAAATTCATAGTTCATGGGAAATATTTAGTCGCGCCGAACATGCGCTCGAATTAATCTATTCATATTTATCATAGATGGCGGTGGTGTGTGTAAAATTGTCACTCCAATTCAACTTCAAAAAAGGGTCATTAGTGCAAGACAGTCTTCGCTAATCCGCGCCCGCTGTTGCACCTTGCTGTGCTTGTCCGCATTATCAATTTAATTAGTTTTAAATACTATAATCGCTATTATTTTTCGGCTATACACTATCATAGACATACAGTAACACATACAACATTACACACCACAATATTTATAAATACTACACTAATCGGCGTAGTGATTGTGAGTACGAGCTTCTCGGTAAGTAAATTTGATTCCTCTAATATATACATAATATATTCTCCCGCGCAATCACGTAATTAACGGCCACGAGGTCCTGTGAGGATTCGATTTCTTAGCGAAATTTTAAATTTTTCACATAGCGTCGGTTAATTTCTTCGCTTACCGCCCGCCATCTTTATTTCCCGTAATTATTATTCATGTATTCTGAATGACGTTGATCATTTTATAGTGTGTGTGACTTGTTAAAATATTGCATTTATTATTATTTAAACTGTTATTTGTGCGGCTGTTGATATAAATACTTTGTATTTATTTATTTATTTATTCTTTTTTGTACACCACAATACAGAAACATTAATATAGTTAAAACTAATTAAAGTATGTACAATAGGCGGTCTTATCACTGAAAGTGATTTCTTCAAGACAACCTTTGCGTAGAGTAATGATGCAAACAAAAGTTACAAATAGAGGGGGGCATACAAAATAATAATAAAAATACAATAATACATACAAATAAAAATAAGTGAAAGTTATGTATAAAATATCATATAATAGATTAAATGAAAAGAGTACGAGAAAGGTAAAGTAATTTATCTAATAGCGTTCTAAATAATTCGATTTAACAAGAATTTTGAAAGAGTGACGAGATTTAGCACGACGAATATGGAGAGGTAAGGAGTTCCACAATCTCACAGCGGTAACGGTGAACGATTTCTTGAAAAAGGAAGAAGAGTGCAAATGTGTAAAGAGAGAAAGATTGACGGAGGATCGAAGGAACCGATTGTGGGTAAGTGAAAGATACTGGAAACGGTTTTTTTTTAAATAAAGAGGAGTACAAGGATTAAACAGCACACTATACAACGCGGAGAGAATGTGAGTATTCCTGCGAAGGCGGTCGGGAGCCATTTGAGCTATTTGCGAAATTCGGAGATATGATCATATTTGCGAAGCCCAAATATAAATCTAGTGCATAAATTTTGAATGCGCTCAAGCTTATTAAGCTGTTCCTCGGTAATGTCAAGATAGCAAATATCACCATAGTCAAGAATAGGCAGAAGTAGACACTGGGCGAGCGTGACTTTAGTTGCTGTGGGAAGAAAATTACGTAATCTACGTAAAGAGCTTAACGCAGCAAACATTTTTCTACTGACCTCATTAACCTGTGAGGTCCAAGACATACAGGAGTCTAGATACAACCCCAGGTTTTTAACCCATTCGCCTCCGGCAACGCACCCCTTGCATTCCACGCACTTCTTGGTGTTTGCCACCAACGCACCATATGCGTTGTGACTATCATAAACTGACTAAATATTTTTTGTGAGTGCGTTCCGAAATATGCGAATACTTTTATCGATAAACCATAGACAAACGTCACTGCTAACTGTCAAATTTGATGTTTCGTTATTTTCAAAACAGAAAGTGACATTTTCGATGGTCTTTTTTCAAGTGGGAAAAGTGCTGTGATTTTCGTCGTAAATTGTATGTTTATTCGTGTTAAAACAGTGATTAATTATATAAAATCGAAAGGTAAGTGCTTATTATCATTCATTATTTCTGTAGATTAAACATTTATAATCAGATTCCGACAATAACGATAATATTCAAATTTCAACGCAAATGGTGCGTTGAATGGCACACACGAACAATAATTGTTGGGATGGTATTATGCTAAAATTTTCATTACTTTGTTAGTGTAATACTTCTGATTATTATTTGTGTCTACTTATGAGATGTGGTGTAATTAGTAGAAGTTGAATAACAAACTTCTGTAGCTTGTTTTTATTATAATGTTGACTACCTACTACAAAAGTAAAATAAAAATACTTAATAGATGCAGTGCAAGTCATAAAAATGCACATTTCATGTGTTATGTTTTATTACTTATTTTTAGATAAATATCGAGAAAAATGGCAGATGGCAAAAAACAGCGCAGTGCTAGGCTGGTGAATTTAGCTCTTAATCAAATAGAGACAGATAACAGCTCCCTGAATACTTCAAATAGGTAAGTCAAACTTTAATTGTTTGAAGTTAATTGTACTTATATATATATATATATATATATATATATATATATATATATATATATATATATAATCATCCTTTCACGGTAAATGTTGATCCAGTGAGAAGTTAGAACAATTGTTGATCCACCTATTTTCTCACCACCTAGTTTGCTCAGCTCCTCGTCGCACAAACTGATATACTTTGATCCATCCTTGATGCGCGTGTGACGTCGGTGGATCTGCACTAACAGGATTTCAATATACTCGTCAGCGATTTGACCAACATTTGTTGATCTATCAACGGTCGAAAAAAATCATACTGAATATGATTTTTAGATCCAGCGTATATTTAATTTATATGCGACATTTACTTAGACTAAGTGGATCCGGAGCCATAATTGACGAATTGGTACTCGAACACGAAACGGCAACGTCGCGTTCTGTGTGTGACAGAGAACCCAGTAGGCTACTTCGTTATAGTAATAAGGTAAGAAAATGCGTTATTTGCTGAAATTGTGGATCGAACTTTGGCAGGTTTTATTGCGGAAAGACGTTTTGTTCGAGTCTTTGTTATCGTGTGAGTGAATTTGTGTTATTTTATTCATTTGTCATAGATCAATTAGAAGATGATGGATAGTACTTTATTACAAATTAATTTATCACTCGTGTGTGTGTGTGTGTGTGTGTGTGTGTGTGTGTGTGTGTGTGTGTGTGTGTGTGTGTGTGTGTGTGTTTTTGTGTATGTTTTTTGTGTGGCGTGTGTGTGTTGTGTGTGTTCACTGTTGTGTTTTTTAGTACGTGTGTGTGTGTGTGCGTGTGTGCGTGCGTGTGTCCACTGTTGTTTTGTGTTTGTGTATGTGCTTGTGCATGTATGTGTGTACTTTCATGCGCGTGTGTGTGTGTATGTGCAGGTGTGTGTGTATGTGTATGTGTGCGCGCGCGTGTGCGTATATGTATGTGTGCGCGCGCGTGTGTTTGTATGTGTGTGTGTGTGTGTGTGTGTGTGCGTGTGCGTGTGTGTGTGTCTGTATTTATGTGAGTGCGAGAGAGCGCGCGTGTGTGTATGCGCGTGCGTGCGTGCGGATGGGTGTGCGTGCGTGTGTGTTCGTCTGAGTGCGTGTTTGAGTGTGTATGTGTGTGTGTGTGTGTGTGTGTGTGTGTGTGTGTGTGTGCGCGCCCAGAAAACGGAGGCGGGGAATGGAGACGTGGAGGCGGAGGTGAATGCAGCGTAGTATGTGGTGAAGGCGGAGGAGAGGAATTTGTGGTGAAGTCGGAGATAGTGGAAACGGGGAATTGTGTTGGAGGCGGAAAGAATAGAGACGGCGCGTGGTGGTGGCGGCGGAGGGAGCGGAGTTTATTGTTGAGGCGGATGAAGCAGAGTTTATGGTGGAGGCGAAAGTAGCGGAGGTGGAGAACAAAAGCTTAGAGAGGGGTGCGGTGGTAGATGTGGAGGCTTAGGTGGCAGAGGTGTTGGTGGGTGCACTGGAGTGCAGTAAAGTGGTTACCGCGTGAGGGCAAGTGAGGCTCATATAAAGGACAGTTGGTTACAGCGAAAAACAGTGGGGCTGGTAAGTGGATATCGATACTGCCCCTAAAGATGTTACTACGAGGTTATTCATTTTTCCCAATATCAGCTTGGATACCTATTGGTACTAGAGACAAAGTGAAAAGAACTTTTCTTTTGTGACGGTTACATCATAACTAACAAAACAAATACTTATCTCTACTATTGGCATACTTAGCTCTACTAGTCCAGGTGTTACAGTGTTAAATACCAAAGTACACCTTCAGGTCACTTCAGCAAGTCCGGAGGTAAGGACTCATCATAACTAACAAAACGAGCCCAAACTCAGCACACCCAGTTCTACTAGTCCAGGAGTTCCACTAGTAATCCCGAATTACATTTTGAGGTCACTACATCAAGACCGGAGGTAAGGGCTCATGATAATATCTCATGTAATAGTTCGATTCTATACCTATCAATTTAGTAAACGTGTCCTTAAAAATCTTGATTATGAAGATGTAGAGAAAACATGTTAACTGGTTTATGGTAAACACACACACACACACACACACAAACACGCAAGCGCGCGCAAACATGCACACAACCCCACACGCACAAACTCATACACACATTCACACACGCACACTGCCGCACACACACAAACACAACAGTGCACACATGCACATCAATTCACACACACACACACACACACACACACACACACACACACACACACACACACACACAGCACACGCACGCACGCACGCAAACACCCACTCAGACGAATACCTTATGTCGCCGTTGCCACCACTTCCGCTACAAGAAGGGGCGTTGTCGAGTAATTCGTTAAAAAAAAGTCGTTTATTCGACCACAAGGATCATAGATGTTAGTAATAATACAAATCTTAAAACTAATTTTCGTAAAACTTAAAACTATTTACCTAATTTTAAAACTATATATAAAACAGGCCCGATTAGTCAGCACGTGCACCATATGACAATGGTTCTGGTACTGACCTCAAACCTGTCAGAAAATGCCCTCAGGATACCATTGGAACTGGCCCGCACCCTGCGCACCAGGGATGTGCATCGTTTACGCATGGTGGTCTAGAAACAATCCACACACGCACCCGCGAACATACCCGGCGCATAACAATAACAAGGTAGACCAAACAGCACCCTGAATGCATTAAATCTGTAGCTTGTACCGCCAAAGATACGAAACGGCAAAGTCGCGGCTACATACAGCCAATCCGATCGTTTATCTTATCGTTTGCTGTGCTCTGATTAGCTCGGTTGCGTCGGTGCGGATTTAAATCGGATCAACAGTTTCCGTAACCATCGCAAGGTGGATTTGTATATCGGATCAACTTCGGCCAACGCTAGCAAACAGTCTCGTGAGTGCAGATGTTGATCCGGTCGGAGCCACATTAGTTACCAGGGATGCCATATTGGATCAACAAAAGGCGCGCAAAGGCGCGGATCAACATGCGTTTTCGGATTAACAAGGTGCTCGCGTGAAGTCGCGTCTGATCAACATTTACCGTAAAGAGATCTCTCTCTCTCTCTTTCTCTCTCTCTCTCTCTATATATTTATATATTTTCATTGATATATATATATATATATATATATATATATACTATATATTATATATATATATATATATATATATATATATATATATATAATCGATCACTGCTTCAAGAAACACCCCTCTATACATAAGTGTGGTAATAAATAGGTATTCCATTATGATAACTAAGGACTTAATTTAGTTAAGTAGTACCTACCTACCTACCTACCAGTTTTTAACCTCGGAAGAAAAAAGAGTTGTGGTTGTGTTTAGGTATGTGTAAGTACTTACTATGCGTTTCAAATAACAATAGAACTAGCAAAGACGTCATATTTTCACAAGTGCCGCCGGCCAGAAGCGGAATCAGAATAATAAAAATAGATCAGAATATATAGATAGATAGAATCAGTAACCATTTGACTGGCCTTTTGGCTCTGTGGTTAGTAGTTCTGAATACGAATCTTGAGGTTGTGGGTTCGATTCCCAACCAGGGCAAACGTTTGTGTGACGAACACGGATGTTTGCTCTGTGTCTGTGTATTAAATAACTACCTGCTTATCTATATATTTCTCAGGCCTATATACCTAGTAGAGTAGGTTTCACAGAACACTAAGATAGGTTTTGCCTAGTTTGAGATCAGGGACTACTTATGTGTGAAGAAATGTCCAGGGTATTTATTTATTTTATTTATGTATCCTTCCATCAATGTTGTTGGTCGAAGTATGCATCTAATAACACCAAACATACCTACATATTTACAAAATTTCAGAAGTTTTGTTTATTAACGTCGCAGCATAAGATGTTGACTTTGACTGTCCTATTGTTATTTCGAACGCATAGTAGTACAGGTACATGTACAGTAGTATAGGTACAGGCTCTCAGTAGCTGCCCGGAGTTAGGAAGTTGGCGGTATCTCACCCCCGTGCCTCGAAAGGCACGTGAAGTCGTTGGTCCCGCGTCTGATCTCTCACCGGTCATGTGGGTTTACCGTCCCATCGGATAATGAGAGTGAGGGAATAGAGAGTGCACCTGTGCTTGCACATACACTTGGTCACTATAATCCTGTCCTGCGCCGATGACTAGTATTCGTTGAGGCTGGCCGCCGTGACCGAAATCGGTCTGGAGGACATTATTATTATAGGTACATAGCTATACTGTGTTATACAGAGTTAATTTTTCACCAACCCAGATAATTGTAGGAATTATTCTACTCATGAAAATAAACAACTTTTATTATAGGAGTGTAGATGAAATCGTGAAAAAAAAACAGCTGTTCTATACAAAAGTGCAAAAACATTTAATTTAAAGGTATGGAACAGCTGATTTTATTTTCGCGGTTTCAGTTTTGGCCCTGCATTATCTGGCGTCATAAAAATTACCCTATATTTTTAGTTTGTGACATGTCCTGTATGATTTGATTGCGTCATTGTATGTGATGGCATCGTAGCTCATGAATAGATGAACCAATTTTTATCGTTTTTGGGTTCCGTACCTCAAAAAGCAAAGACGGAACTTTTATGTTGAAGTTTTTTTCCGTCTCTGTTCATCCGTCCGTTTGCCTGTCAAGAAAGACTCTTTGTCTTGGGAATGCATGGAGGTATCGAATTAGGATTAAAATCATATACTCAGGTATACTTACGGTCGTTTATGTTGGTTTTATATGCATAAATTAATTATATCTAATAAAATAATATGCAAGGTTGTTTTGATGTAAAATAATTGAAAAGTAAAATGAAAGAAAAAGTAATTGAATAACCACCCACCATTCTATTTTAAAAAGATAAGTTTGTTAGGAGTCTGTCATATTATATTCTTTGTCAACAATTTAAAATTTGGCTAAATAAACATATTCTTTTCGCATTGCTTTTTCTGAACAAGCCAACAGCATTAGTTTCATTTCTACATCTTATTTAATATTCTA